TAAACTTAAAGGGACTGTAAGCGTTATTTCAAGTGACCCTCCATGCAAAACATGGCAATGCCCGATTCACAACGGTTCCCTGATAAGTTTAATCTCATCAAGAATGAATGAGACATTTATAATTTTGAAAACTGATTATTTTCTATTGTGGCTTCTCATCAAAAGTGACTTGTACATTTCTACTGCAGGAAAACAGATAGGAATTATCAAATTTAACCATTTTCAAACCTAAAAAAGCGACAATATTTTCCACATAATGGATCTGACAAATCTTCAAGGGTACCGTTGTGAATTGGGCATTGACATCTTTACACGGAGACTTGAAATATCTTATTCCACTCCTGTATGCCGAATCAATTAGCGCCTGATCCAATCAGGGTGCAGTCATGTGTTTGTTGTCTATTCTGAACCAATAGAATAGTATGGTGGTAACATCTCATTATCCAATTAGAGATATGAATCCTTCAATCGGCGCTATCTGTAAATGGAAATATTTACTTCTTCTGAAACTATAGTGATTCAGTCCCTTTAACATCTAAGATTAACAATTTCAAGAAATCCCCAAATCTTTAGGTGTAAAACTCGCAAATTTTTATTTTTTACATATTTAATGACAATTAAAATTAGTGAAACATCTAGACTGATAATGGCAAATATAATGTATGCATGTATGAATACTTCACTATAGTTTCAGTAGAAGTAAATATGTCCATTTACAGATAGCGCCGATTGAAGGATTCACAGACACACACACACATGACGTTTCCGCCCCCTGTGTTATCCTATTCCACTCTTATGTAGATCCGCTGTTATCCTAGTCCACTCTTATGTAGATCCGCTGTTATCCTAGTCCACTCTTATGTAGGTCCGCTGTTATCCTAGTCCACTCTTATGTAGGTCCACAGCTGTATCCTAGTTCACTATTATGTAGGTCCGCTGTTATCCTAGTTCACGATTATGTAGGTGCACAGCTGTATCCTAGTCCACTCTTATGTAGGTCCGCTGTTATCCTAGTTCACTATTATGTAGGTCCACAGCTGTATCCTAGTCCACTCTGATGTAGGTCCGCTGTTATCCTAGTCCACTATTATGTAGGTCCACAGCTGTATCCTAGTTCACTATTATGTAGGTCCGCTGTTATCCTAGTCCACTATTATGTAGGTCCACAGCTGTATCCTAGTCCACTATTATGTAGGTTCACAGCTGTATCCTAGTTCACTATTATGTAGGTCTGCTGTTATCCTAGTTCACTATTATGTAGGTCCACAGCTGTATCCTAGTTCACTATTATGTAGGTCCGCTGTTATCCTAGTTCACTATTATGTAGGTCCAAAGCTGTATCCTAGGTCCATAATTTTAAGGCCAGCAGACCCTTAAAAAAACTTTGCAAATCTCGATATTTTTCTCTCTCATTTGCGTTTAATTACTTGTGCAGCATAGTTACATTGCGCACTCTTGCTCAAACTTTTATCAAGATTTGCTACTCTGTATTCTTCACAGGTTTCAATTTTCATGTTTATAAAACATAATTCAGAAGCACAATATACATTTATTATCATTATTATTACTTAAACTTTCCCTCTGGACAATATTACCTCTTTTATCCCACAAAAAGTTCGGAGAAAGAAGTTGTTGGTTTTCAAGACGAATTCTGTGGTTTTCTATAAAAACAATTAAGGAAGTATTTCAAATAATCCACCCGTCCGTCCGAGCTTGACGGCTTATCTTTTCACTGCATGGTTTGAAGGAAAACGAAGCGTCTCGAATTTCTAGTTAATTTAAATTAGAATATCTTCGTCACTGTAAGTTGAATGACAAATTACAGACTGTCTTGATAAAATAGAGGTCATTATAGAAAAACTGGGTAGAAGGGGTAGGTTGAAGGTTGAAATAGACTCATTAGGTTTCATCCTAATATATAATTTAAAAACAACAATCTAACATTGCACTTTATTTTCAACATACAGGGTGTCCCACGAAACATGACAGTATGCAGGACGACTTGAATGTCGTCTTGATTTGTTTTATAATTTGCTGCGTTTATTTGTCAACCTAATTTTAGAAGTAAATTTCTAGAGATAATAATCACAAAATTTCCCTTGTCCTGCCATTTCCAAAATGTGGTCTGCCTTTTTTGTGCTTTCATCTTTTTCGATTTCTCTTCCCAGTAATCTTAGTTTATATATTCTCATACTCGAAATATTTCAAACAAAAGTTTTATGGTCAAACATAACTTTATCGGACACAAGATATACGATAGGATGGAACACTAAAATGGAACACTATAATGGAACAGTAAGATCAAAAGCTAAGATGGAACACTAATATGGCACACTTATATGGAACACTAACAAGGAAAACTAAGATGGAACACTAAGATAGAACACTAAGATCGATCACTAATATAGAATACTAAGATGGAACACTAAGATGGAACACTAAGATGGAATACTAAGATGGAACACTAAGATGGAACACTAAGATGGAATACTAAGATGGAACACTAAGATGGAACACTAAGATAAAACAATAAGATGGAACAATGGATAGAAAACTAAGATAGAACACTAATCTGGAACACTAAGATGATAAACGAAGATGGAACACTAAGATGATAAACGAAGATGGAACACTAAGATGTGATAATAATATTAAAATGGAACTTTATGATTAAACACAAAGTTAAAACTTTTATTATGTAAAAGCTGTAAAATAAAATTAATAAAATTAGAATAAACATAAATTTGCAAAAAAATCTGAAATTAAAAGTTAAAAATTGAAATTTAATGATGGTTGAAACACAAAACCATTAAAATTGAATATCCAGTGTCCTGAATGGACAATGAATTATCTGAACTAGAGATGACCAAAGTTGGTTTAAATTCCGTATTTCTTAATATGTTACATCATACAGATTATGCTAATGACCATACTCGCACATATACACATTATTTGGACTGGTTTCAAATTGGCTAAATATTGTAAGTATATCGGCCTGGGTGGGCTGTCGAGCCGGTTCAACTCGCCACCCACCCTAGTCTTAATACTCAGTTGGTTTAGGAACCTCGCACAGTGTAGACATACACGCGGAGCTCTTCTGATTTTCAGTGACTTCAACGATAGTAAAATTTGAAAAGTTCCCAACATTGAAAATATTTAGAACTCAATCCTGAATATCAAACCGAACCATATTTGAGTTTACAATGGAAGGATAATCTTCTCAGTGAGCATATGGAATATAAACAAGGACGGTCAACATGATCCTTCTCCTCCTCATCATCTCTACAGTCTTCGCTAGCAAACAGTTCTCTCTTCCGGAAGGTTTGTTGACATAAAGTTTAATAATCTTGGATACATTGAATACAAATGATATGATATTTAATTGAATTGCTTGAGGTTGGGACCGGGTTGATCATGATTACTAGGTTTCCTCTCCAACTCTATACACTCAAGATGACGATTGTTAAAGCAATTGTTATCTAATGATATGTTATTACTCTTCAGGTTTGATTACTGTTTTGAACCCTGAGTTTGATTCATTAATGGTGTACTGTACAGATAACCCAGAGCTTAGGTTCTATTATCTCCGGTCTATAGAATCCTTAATAGACACAATAATCCATCCAATTCAAGGTGGAATTCTTAGGATAGTTCACTGCAAACTACTCTGGGTTTAGTTAAATTCATGGCTCCTTACTCAAGTTCAGTTTAGTTTATTGCTCTATAATCTGGGTTCAGTTTAATTCACTGCTCCATGCTCCAGGCTCAGTTTAGTTTATGCTTTATAATCTGGGTTTAGTTTTATTCATTTCTCCATTCTATCTCTAGGTTCAGTTTAATTCACTGCTACATACTCTGGGTTTAGTTTTATTTTCTGCTAAATACTCTGGGTTCCATGTAACTCACTGCTCCATACCCAGGGTTTAGGTTCAGAGGTCCCTCTAAACAATCTGCAGAATATAGGATACTTTTCATTGTTTCTAGAACATTGGATATTTGTCCTTTTTTCCAGAATATCGGATATTAGTCCTTATATCCAGAATATAGGATGTTCGTCCTAATTTCTAGAATATTGGATATTGGTCCTTATTTCCAGAATAATGGATATTGGTCCTTATATCCATAATATTGGATATTGGTTCTGATTTTTAGAATAAAGGATATGGGTCCTTATTTTCAGAATATTGGATACTCGTCCTCATTTCCAGAATATAGGATATTCGTCCTAATTTCTAGAATGAAGGATATTGGTCATTATTTCCAGAATATTGGATACTCGTCATTATTTCAAGAAAATTGTATACTCTTCTCTATTTCCAGAATATAGGATATTCGTCCTAATTTCAAGAATGTTTAGGATATTCGTCCTAATCTCATAAATGTAGGATATTCGTCCTAATTTCAAGAATGTTTAGGATATTCGTCCTAATCTCATAAATGTAGGATATTCGTCCTAATTTCAAGAATGTTTAGGATAATCGTCATAATCTCATAAATGTAGGATATTCGTCCTAATTTCAAAAATGTTTAGGATAATCGTCATAATTTCATAAATGTAGGATATTCGTCCTAATCTCATAAATGTAGGATATTCGTCCTAATTTCAAGAATGTTTAGGATAATCGTCATAATCTCATAAATGTAGGATATTCGTCCTAATTTCAAAAATGTTTAGGATAATCGTCATAATTTCATAAATGTAGGATATTCGTCCTAATTTCAAGAATGTAGGATGATCGCCCTAATCTCATAAATGTAGTATATTCGTCCTAATTTCAAGAATGTTTAGGATAATCGTCATAATCTCATAAATGTAGGATATTCGTCCTAATTTCAAGAATGTAGGATAATCGCCCTAATCTCATAAATGTAGGATATTCGTCCTAATTTCAAGAATGTAGGATAGTCGTCCTAATCTCATAAATGTAGGATATTTGTCCTAATTTTAAGAATGAAGGATAATCGTCCTAATCTTATAACTGTAGGATATTCGTACTAATTTCAAGAATGTAGGATAGTCGTCCTAATCTCATAAATGTAGGATATTCGCCCTAATTTCAAGAATGTAGGATAATCGTCCTAATCTCAAAAATGTAGTATATTCGTCCTAATTTCAAGAATGTAGGATAATCGTCCTAATCTCATAAATGTAGGATATTCTTCCTAATTTCAAGAATGTAGGATAATCGTCCTAATCTCATAAATGTAGGATATTCGTCCTAATTTCAAGAATGTAGGATATTCGTCCTAATTTCCAGCTTATTTCCAGAACAAATTATACTCGTCTGTATTGTAGCAAAAATATCTAAATGTTTAACAATTGAACTTTACACTTAATTACATACATAAAACCTAGTTCTATATCTGAGCCAACATTTAGAAATAACCATTTTTCTGCTAGATTTTCTAATTCTTGTTCTATTTTTCATCTTGTTTTTCTTCCCATCTTTCTCCACATTCCGCTTAGCATTGTTTTCCTTCTCATTTTCTATCAATTTTCTTCTCATTTTGTCTTCTTGTTTCCCCCCATGGAATCATCTGAACCTAATTTTGTTATTCTCAAACATGTTTCCTCAATCCTCATTCTCTCCTCAATTAACCCGCTGAATAGGAGCTAAGAAATGCAATTAGGCACCTGAGGGGAGAGAAGGTGGGAGGAGGGTGTATGAGAAGGGAGGAGGGGGTACATGGGAAATAGCAGGATGAACTTCAAATTTTATATTTGATTGATTTCTTGAACCGATTGCTATGAAATCTATCCCGGTAGTTGATTTCCTGTAATTTTCCTATATTTTCTGTTCTATAGATTGATTGATTGATTGGTTGGTTTACTAGAAGAACTGTTAAATCTAGCTGTCACACTTAGGATATTTGTTATTGATGAGTTTTTAAGTGAACACTGAAGAGTAAACTCAGAGCAATAGTAAAAACTGTGTTTCTTGGACCCACCTTATAGATAACAGTTGGGAGCCATTCATAATGATGACAGTTGGGAACCAGTCATAAAGATAACAGTTGGGAACCTTTAATATAGATGCCAGTTGGGAACCATTTATAAAGATACCAGTTGGGAACCATTTATAAAGATAACAGATGGGAACCATTCATATAGATAAAAGTTGGGAACCTTTCATATAGATAACAGTTGGGAACCATTCATGAAGATAACGTCAGTTCGGAACCAGTCATAAAGATAACAGTTCGGAACCATTTATATATATAACAGTTGGGAACCATTTATAAAGATAACAGTTGGGAACCTTTAATATAGATACCAGTTGGGAACCATTTATAAAGATAACAGTTGGGAACTTTTAATATAGATATCAGTTTGGAACCATTCATATAGATAACAGTTGGGAACCATTCTTACAGAATGAAGGGTTGTATCCAAGATAAGAAGTTACTAGAGCAGTAGTTGAAAGAAGGGCGTTTTCTCTTCAATTAATTCACTAATTACGCCACGTTAAGCTGCTTACTTCACGATTAAATTCAGCCGATTAAAAAATGTTTATTTCAAAATAATGTTTACTGTGATTAAGGAAAAAATAATGCTGATTAATTGTATTCTGATGGGAACTATGTTTTCTAACCTTATCCATTATTTTTTATTGTCACAAGACTTGTTAAAAAGTAACAATCTCTTTAGTCTGAATTATCCTCGATATTAGAATATGGTTCAGGATGAATAGGTTTTTAAAAGGTTTTATTCTAGTTGATAAGAACGGAGTTTGACCAAGATTACAGGACAGAATCAACAGAAGTCGGAGATATTTAAAGGACGGAACTATATGACGTATACGGAGATATTAGGAGGACGTGAAGCAACAAGGACTGAGATATTGGTAGGACGGGAAACATGAAGAATGAAAATATTGGTAGGACGGGAAACATGAAGGATGAAGATATTGGTAGGACGGGAAACATGAAGAACGAAGATATTGGTAGGACGGGAAACATGACGGACGGAGATATTGGTAGGACGGGAAACATGAAGACCGAATATATTGGTAAGACGGGAAACATGAAGAACGAAGATATTGGTAGGACGGGAAACATGAAGGACGGAGATATTGGTAGGTAGGGAAACATGAAGAACGAAGATATTGGTAGGACGGGAAACATGAAGAACGAAGATATTGGTAGGACTGGAAACATGAAGGACGGAATTATTGGTAGGACGGGAAACATGAAGAACGAATATATTGGTAGGACAGGAAACATGAAGAACGAAGATATTAGTAGGACGGGAAACATGAAGGGCGGAGATATTGGTAGGACGGGAAACATGAAGAACGGAGATATTGGTAGGTAGGGAAACATGAAGGACGGAGATATTAGTAGGACGGGAAACATGAAGGGCGGAGATATTGGTAGGACGGGAAACATGAAGAACGGAGATATTGGTAGGTAGGGAAACATGAAGGACGGAGATATTGGTAGGACGGGAAACATGAAGGACGGAGATATTGGTAGGACGGGAAACATGAAGGGCGGAGATATTGGTAGGACGGGAAACATGAAGGACGGAGATATTGGTAGGTAGGGAAACATGAAGAACGAAGAAAAAGGTTGGACGGGAAACATGAAGGACGGAACGGAATCTATGCTTGCATATTCTCAATAAATATTTGTTTAGTATAAAACCAAACCTAAACCCTATGTAAACCCTCCTTTGTTTATCTATGCATCTTTGAGCATGCATACTCTCCAATAGTATCCGGGATTTACTAACATGATCCGGGCTCTTTGATTAGGCTGAAGGATTTTATCCAGGCGAATTAAGTCAGTATCGAGGATTCTGATTTTTTGAGACTTAATCCAGATAAAGAACTCCAGACTTTATAGACTTACAAGGATGAAATATATCAGACGTTAAATTTGGCCTGGACAATGTAGAGCTTAAAAGTTAGGATGTAACAGACAGACTGAAGGAGAAGGTCAAAGACCACGTAGATTTTTTAGTTTTGGTTTTACATGAGAAAATCAAACTTATTTGGTTACCTAAGATGAGTTTTGACTGAAACCAAGTAAGATTTCAATTTGACTTGAAATTTAGTCTAGTTTGATGTGGTGCCAATTGGAAAAAATATTGAAAATTGAAAATCGATTTCCAGTTGGGCAATTATGAAGGACGCCCATTTTTTAGCCGAGTCCATTTTTTAAATATTAATAAGTAAGAATATCACCAAGAATTGTTATCACTCTGGTTCATTTGAAGTACCAGACCAACCTGTGGGCAGCTAGAGCAAGTTGTACTGTATATGTATCGGTCAAAACACACTAGACAAATCATCTCCTTCTTTCTTGAGATTAATGTAAAATTTTGTTCCAACTCAAGTTTCCTAAATTAGTGAGCTTTCCTTGTAATCTTGACTCTGGGTATATTTAGGATCTGGTCCTTGTTATCTTGGCTCTTGGAATGTTTAGGATCTAGTCCTTGTAATCTTGACTCTTGATATGTTTAGGATCTGGTCCTTGTAATCTTGACTCTTGATATGTTTAGGATCTGGTCCATCTAATCTTAACTTTGTGTATGTTTAGGATCTGGTCCTTGTTATCTTGACTCTTGGAATGTTTAGGATCTGGTCCTTGTAATCTTGACTCCGAGTATGTTTAGGATCTGGTCCTTGTAATCTTGACTCCAAGTATGTTTAGGATCTGATCCTTGTAATCTTGACTCCGAGTATGTTTAGGATCTGGACCTGACGGGACGAAGTTGATAACTCTGTATCAATGTGAAGGAGAAGAGGTTCGGTTATCATGCTCAGCTGGGACTATATCTATAGTTAGAGCTAACTTTGGCAGGTACTGTACTCTCTTTACAATTTATTTTTAATAAAGGGAATTTAAGCGCAATTTTAAGTGACCCATTCATGAAAAAAAGGCAATATCCGATTTACAACGGTACCCTTAGAATCAGATCAAAAATGTGGAAGATAACGTCGTTTTTCCGTGAATTTCTTAATTGTTTCTTATAGGCTAGTAATGCATGAGTAAGTTATTCAGAAAACCCGCAAATAAAAATAAACAGAAACAAAAACAAAAAAATTAGTACTTTATCAGACAAAGCTTTTAAGGATACCGTTATAGATGGACATTGCCATATTTGCATTGAGGGTCACTTGAAATAACGCTTACAGTCCCTTTAAAGGTATTCTTCAGAAAGAAACGGATTAATCGCATGATCTACGTTATCAGGTTGGAAAGATGTTTAAAACTTAGACAATATTAGTTTGCAGTGATTAGTCAGTTTCTTTAAGAAAAGAGAAAGATAACGATTTTTATCAAGTTTAACGACAAAAAAAATATTTTAGTTTGTAATCTTGCATGTTTTAAATTCCTTAAATGCAACCAACCAAGTTTACTGTCCTTACTTTTGAGTGTAAATTGAAGAAAACAGCAGAAGTTACGATGTCGCAAAAATGTCTTTAAAGGGACTGTAGAGTTAATTTTAATTGACAGTTAAAGAGGGTAAACCATGCATATTCACAACAGTTCTCTTTAATTCTTCGTCTCAAACAAAAATGATGAAGATTTCCAATTGTAGTTTCTCTATCAAAGTGAGTTTATGAAGAATGAGTTGCCAGAATTTGACACTTTGCTAAACAGAAAAACGAAGATATCTCCATCATTGTTCCGATAAAGGATAAAGGGAACCGTACAAGTGTGCAAACCTTGTAATGAAGGTTCAATTGAAATTAGCCGGGAGTCCCTTTAAGCAAAACAAACCACAATGTTTCCAATATTTGATAAATTCTTTAAATAAATTATAAATATATTTGGATACAAGGAGAACCTCATATTTATTAGATATGCAGTAAACCAATATTTTTCAGTAAAAACTGAATTGTAAATTTTCCCTTTTCTTTTTGTCTTGTTTTTACATTCATTTATGTATTTGGTTTTTATTTTAATCACAAAATCACGCTTAAAACGGCATCGCATACTGCCTGAAATATCTTCTAGTCGAACTCATCTTTATAAAACAACAAGATTTAAGCAAATATTTTGCGCCGACTGGACAGACTGGTTGATTGATTGATTGGTTCTTGAACAATACACTGCAAGTACTGTAATAAAGTCAAGGGGTAATATAATATAAGTATTTAACTGACAGGGATCCATAGAACAATAGCAAGTTTAGCTTACATCTATCTATTTATCTATCTATCTGTATGTCTATCTATCTATCTATCTACCTTTCTATCTGTCTATCTATACATCTATCTATCTATCCATCTGACTCCTATATCTGGTATTTAAAAAGAATAAACAAGATTAGAGGCATTGTTAATTCATTCAGAAGCATTTAATCTGTAAAACATTTTCATCATTGTAAACTTTTTATTATCTTTATTTATCTCACTAATAAACTTTAAAGAGACAAGACACGATTTGGAACAAGGATTGGATCAAGGTTATAATGCAAGGAAATTTAATTGCAGTTGCGTATGCTCTGCAGTACATATTGAAACCAGTTCTCTCTAAGCGGAATTTGTAAACAAGAATAGATGCATCAGTGTTCGTTTGGTATCCGAAAGCATTAAATTTTGATAATTTTGATAATTCACATAATAGTTTCCTATGACCAGAATATTTCATTGATTTTTTATGTGAAAGATGGATTCCATGTCAGGCTTCGACATCCGTCTTGTGTTTACATTTCCGCCCAGAGACAGAACACTGAAGTACAAAAGATGCGTACACCTCTAAAATAACTTTCCTTGCATTATAACCTTGGGTTGGATAAATTGTTTTGGCATTATTTTATTCAAATGAAGACATTTACATCTAGAAAGATAAGATGTGTAGATTTTTGATTTTGAAATAACATTTTTATTCCATTATTTATTCTTATAAAGGGCACATATATTAAGATACCATAAACACTGACTTCATTCATTTCATATTTTATTCAACTACAAAGCACGAGATAATACAAATAAAAAAATTACAATTTAAGATGTAGTTTGGACCCGCCTAACCAGAGTAGGTTGTTTTAATTGGTTGGCCCACTATAAACGAATGAGAATTGCAGATAAAACCATGTACATTGTACATTTTAAACATAAGAATGATGATAAATCAGGAAAATGGTAAGGAGGAGGTGAGGGAGTATAAGGTAAAGGGAGGATACTCAGCGTAAGACTTTAACTCTAAATCCGTGCACTGTCTCTTTATGTAACTTTTTATCACCTTAATTATGTTCTATTGGCTACTGTAGACATATGTTGGTTCAAGCCCTACTGTCTCAACTGCCTGAAATGAGCATAATGATGTAAATTGAACATAGGACAATATATTGTAAATTATCCCTCTGCAGTAATTATCCCATGAACAGTGGTTTAAATCTATTAGTTACAACTCATTAAGAGATGGGATGTTAATTACATTTATGTAATTAACTAATGCTAATTGCTTAATTCAATTAAAGGCAGTAGAAAATACAACTGTTAAATCATCTTTTTCTGTTGGATGAGTCCTATGTTTGAACTCATTATTTTAAATAATAAATCTTTCTCCTAGATTTTAATATTTTCAATTCCCGGATTTTTATCCTATTCAACCCTCTCACCCCAGGATATCAATTGTTTAAAAACAATTTTTTTTCAACGGTCTTTTCTTGATTTAAGAAATAAATCTCTCCTTCTGAATTATAAAATAAAATGAAAAGAGGGTTAAAGAAATATTTACGTTTAAAGAAACGGGAAAAAGCTAAAAAAAAATGAATGCTCAAAAGTTTTTAAAATATTAATTTCTTTTCTATATGGATTAATAAGTCTCTGTATACGGATTAAACCCAACCTAATATATAAGTCTATGTATACGGATTAAACCCAACCTAATATATAAGTCTCTGTATACGGATTAAACCCAACCTAATATATAAGTCTCTGTATATGGATTAAACCCAACCTAATATATAAGTCTCTGTATACGGATTAAACCCAACCTAGTATATAAGTCTCTGTATATGGATTAAACCCAACCTGATAATGATGAATTGGAATCATTTAACTAAGTATTTAGTTTTCAAAAGGTCATAACGCTGAATTCACCTAATCGGATCTTTCATGCAATCCAGTTTAATCAATCAATCAGATCGGTTTATCAGGGATTCATTAGACCACAATTAATTAACAAAAATTTAAACTAAAAGTAACAAAAAAATAGAGATAGTTTTTAACCAACAAATTAAGTTTTGAATAATGTATAATGTAAAAAAGGGTGACTCAGGTTTATTTTAGCATTTGAAGTCTCAAATTTGACCCTTTTTTGGAGTTCTAATATTTTAACTGGAATATGTGAAGTAAAATCATAATTTGAAACGTTATAATTTGCTAATTGAAATCAGCAGTACTAATGATATAAAGTAGTTAGACAGAGAGACGTGCACCTAATCACCCTAATCTCTTTTTTGGAACACTCTGTATTTTTAATAATTTTCTTTTTAAGGTTTTCTATTGCGGTGTGTAACCAGCATGGGAATACAAACTGGACTACGGACTGTGCTTCACCTACTGCAGCTCACACTATTAAGAAAATGTAAGCGTTAACAATTATCATCCTTCCGACACAAACCTATGAATAATAAATAAAGTTGTTTAGCTCCATGTATGCATTTATACAGATACACCTGTCCTGAGCACGTCACATGTTTTATCCTCGTTTCAAACTCAAATATTTTTATCCGGCATTTTTGCAACATTATTATGCATTTTTCTTTTTGCAATTTAATTTTTACAACTTTAAACATAATTCCCGCCCAATTCTTAACTATGAGGATTGTTGGTAAAGTTTATAGATTATATTATAAATGAGGAGGGGGGAGTAAAAAGAGTGGAGTGAAGAGAGGGATGAAAAGAGTCTAGTAAAACAGGGATAATAAGAGAGAGATGAGAAGAGAGGAGTAAAGAGAGGGATGAGAAGAGAGGAATGTGAAGATAGGGATGAGAAAATAAGCATAGAAAGAGAGGGATGAGAAGAGAGGGATGAGAAGAGAGGGATGAGAAGAGAGGGATGAGAAGAAAGGGATGAGAAGAGAGGGATGAGAAGAGAGGAATGTTAATATAGGGATGAGAAAATAGGGATAAGAAGAGAGGGATGTGAAGTTAGGGATGAAAGGAGAGGGATATGAAGAGAGGGATGGGAAGGCAGGGATGAAACGAGAAGGATGAGAAGATTTGGATAAGAAGAGAGGAATGAGAAGAGAGGAATGTGAAGATAGGGATGAGAAGATAGTTTTGAAAAGAGAGGGATAAGAATAGAGGATAGAAATGAGAGAATGAGAGGAGAGGAATAAGAAGAGAGGAATGTAAAGATAGGGATGAGAAAATAGGGATAAGAAGAGAGGAATAAGAAGAGAGGAATGTGAAGATAGGGATGAGAAGATAGGGATAAGAAGATATGGATGAGAAGATAGGGATAAGAAGAGAGGGATGAGAAGAGAAGAATGTGAAGATAGGGATGAGAGGGATGAGAGGGATGAGAAGAGGTGAGTATAGAGATAAAGGGTTGGAGGGTGAGAGAAGAAAAGTCTCCGAGTTTTATTGTTTGTCAAGACAGTTTATGTTTATCATAATTCGTTCTGCACAATACACTCTTGCAGGTTTTCCCGTTTGATCCCGGGAAAGTTAGGTTTCACTTTTTCCTTGAGATTACATTCATCCGCGAAGATGATATTCCTAGAAATTCCCATGTCGCATTCTTACATGTCTCATCTTTCAGGTGTGAGAAGCTTCAGACCTGCGTGGTATCCGTCCGACCTGATACATTGGGAGACGCGTGTCCCAGTACTCCAAAGTACCTGGAGGTTCACTACTTCTGTAAGGTTGAAACAAATCCATCCTCCCCCCGACACTCTCCACACTTCCCCGACACGGAGCTAACAGCACTCTGGGATCAACAGAACAGTCATAAAGTAAATATTGACTCAGTGTTGAGAGCTATGAAGGAGAGAGAGAATGATATCTCAACCCAGAGAGTTCCAATAACAACAGAACCGGAGAGCCCAAAACCAAGCCCCAAAATACAATCAGCCCTGAGTGATGTTAACGAGACAAACTACCCTGTCCAACTAGAAACAGAAGTATATTCACGGGATGAATCTTTCAACGATCAATCATCCACCCTAGATACGCAGACAACGATTGAAACCGCTCCCCTTCCAGAGATGAAGGAACGGTTTGAGGTTGAGAATGCTTCTTTAGGATGGTTGGAGGAGGAGGAGGAGGACCCTGAGAAGCCTCCGGAGGAGACCTCGAACACTATGTTTGTCCTTGAGGTTGTCACCTATGCTGTGGCTGCAATCTGTGGCATTATTCTTATCTTCCTGATTGCAAAGGTAAAATATTTCGCATATTTTCCAAAAAGAATGGTTTATAAAAAAATCTTTTTTAGTTTTTATTTCAGTTTCGGAGAACCGGTGTTCCTCCGTCCTGCTCCTGCTGGCGAGTCAAGGAGTCGGGTTCAGGATACTCCGACTCCAGCTCCGGGTCCTGTTTAAATAGCTTACCGGTGGAACACTGCAAAATGCCTGGAGCTGGAGATTCCATCTCACCTCATACAATTGGAACTATTAATCATTGTATGGAGCTAGAACCTAGTCGACATATCTCCGGAGCTCGGTACAGCGTCTCTTCCATTGGAAACAATTCCGAACTAGGTTCTAACGTCAGCTCACCACTTGATAGAGTTCGACACCTTCAATACGGAGAGAGATCGAACGTGAGTCCATACCCTGACTGTTCTACTCCAGTCCCGGGTCGGATATTGACAAGTTCCCCGCTCCAGCAGCATACAGGAGTATACGGAGTTGATGCATATCAGGACATGGGACAAATAGGGAGTAATATCTTCCCGTCCTGTCATCAGCATTATCCTTCCAGTCCATATCTTACAGTTATGAAGTCCCAGTGTGTTGGCTGTCTCCAGGAGGGGGTTCAGGTTCAAGATATTCAAGATTATCATCAGTTCAGCCAGGATCCATACCTTCTCACAAGGTCTGTGGACAGTCAGAGAAAATGCATGAGAAGTGAACCCAGTGGATCTATTGTCATGGGTTCAGATGTCTAGTATCCGAGGAACATGTGAGAAATGTACGCCTGACCCAATCTACTAAGGTTCAGATTAGGGATTAATGGAACAATTGCACTAAAGGACCTGACCTATATCCTGTAGCTGGGATTGGCGCATTTTTTGCACCAGGCTCGATTTCATTTCCGCAATCTTATTTGCGATTAGTTTAATCGCTAATTATTGTCAATATCTACGGCTGTGATCTTAGTTTATTACATAGTTATAGTTCCAAAGAAAATAAATATAATATTAAGAATATACAGTTTTATTTTTAAGTGATAAAATGAGGACTCATGGTTTCAATGCTATTAGTGCAGATTAGACACTGGGGGAGGGGGGAGGGGTAACCTTGACCTAAATTATGGCTGAGTATCATGATTGAGACTGATCCTCTCATCTTTCCACCCTCTCCTGGCAACACTTGTCTCTCTCCACCTTTCCTCTTGCCAAAATCCACATTAAATTTCAGTCTAAGTTCTTATGCTGACCCAGGACTGACAGGGGGAGTAGGTTTACTCCGAACCCTGCACTCCACTCTACCAGAATCCCAAGTATTACAAGAATTTATGTCTAATGGTTCAATATTTGGCAAAATTAAGCAATGAAGCGTTCCTACAGTTGAGTTTCAGTCTCAAATAACTATTTTTCTTGAAACCTGTCTTTCTCGTGCATTTCAGTTTTAAACGTTAATTTAAAAACTAGCGCGAGAACGCATTCAGATAGATTGAAGTAGATCATTTAAAAACCAGTGCGGTTAAACTTCAATCAAGTTTTGTTTGAAAACTGCAGGATAAGAACCAGGTCGGAAGATCTCAATTGCAGTCTCCAGCCTGGGATAAGAACAGGATGGGGGACTGAAAATTGAATACTTGAAGGATGAATGATAATAATTTGCTCCAGTTTCCTGTTTACTGGGAATACAGGGTGGGACGAAGATAATGAGACGGATGAAAAGATCGGGAGGATGTATCCAGGGGGAACTAGAGGAGGGGGAGCTCGGAGACAGGGAGAATGTATCCAGGGCTGATAATACTGGCTGATACAGAAAAAAATAAGCTGATACTGCTGGCTGATAAATATGTACAGGGTGAACCACAAACAATGAGAGTTTAATGAAGAACTTGAAACTAATTATGTTTTACAATATTAAGATTGTTGTTTGCTCTATAATCAAGTCCGTCAACAGTATATTAACTGATTTGATCAATAAAGAAGCAAGTTTTGAGCCACAGGGACCCATCAATGTGAAAAGAATGACTAAATAATTTCAAAACAGTTGTCTCTGACGTCTCACCCATTGTGGGTAACCAGGTCTGCACATAAAGGAAAGCATTTCTTTGATCTAATCTTCCAAAGTAATGTAGCATACATATACACGATTTTACAAAAGCAATTATTGCGGGTAGATTGGGCAAGAAAGGGGGGCTCAGTGGGGTATTATGGGGGGTCAGCTAAAATGATTTTATTCAATAAACCTCTTAATTGTGTCAAATAAGCCTTGGTCGCTTAAGATTTTTTTTTGAGAGAAGTCTCTAATGGGTTTAAATGTTTTGTTTTAGTTGAGAATTTCGACCAAAAACCCGCTATTTCATTGAAAACTCTTGAAATAGGATTTTTCAACACGCTACTATGACTACATTAAGGTTTTAGGGTGCTACTGGAGGACCCAAATCTTTTCTATATGGCTGTTAGAAGCTTTCTATTCATTTAGATTATCCCGAAACCCCTGTGCTTTTATGTACTTTTGCTATAAATATATGTTTTTCTTTCCAACAAGCTTGCTGTAACAAAGACGACATCTGAGTTTATTGCGAGTTTACAGGATCCAATCAAGGATAAATATACAATTCATACAATGTTTGTAAATGAAAAGATTATCAGAATATATTCATTTTGTCCATTCTCACCATAAAAAAAACACATTTTAAGAGGAGTATTGTGACAAAAACAATTCACTTTCCCCATGACCCCCTGAAATACCCCACTGGGGGGAGGCAATTATTCTGAAAGATTTTAGGAAAAGAAGAAAAGAAAATATTTCTCAAAATTTCGAACTCTGACATCTTATGGCTGAACTTGGTATTGTAAACAATTATTTGAGTATGGAGTAAAGTAGAAGGAGGATGTGCAATGAACAGTAGAAGTAGAAGGATGGAATGAATCTATGCATGAAGTAAAGGAGAAGGATGGAATGAATCTGTGAAGTAAAGGAGAATGAAGGAATGAATTATCTATGGAGTAAAGGAGAAGGATGGAATGAATTTATGGAGTAAAGGAGAAGGATGGAATGAATTATCTACGGAGTAAAGGAGAAGGATGGAATGAATTATCTATGGAGTAAAGGAGAAGGATGGAATGAATCTATGGAGTAAAGGAGAAGGAAGGAATGAATCTATGAAGTAAAGGAGATGGATGGAATGAACCTGTGAAGTAAAGGAGAAGAATGGAATGACTTATCTATGGAGTAAAGGAGAAGGAAGGAATGAATCTATGGAGTAAAGGAGAAGGATGGAATGACTTATCTATGGAGTAAAGGAGTTAATTCCACTGGGGCGGGGTTTAGTTTATCAACGTTTAAGAGATATTGTGGCAGGTTAGATAATATATATTTTTCTGCAACTCAAGCAAAACTAAAAACTTAAATGTTTCCTTTTCTGCAGATAAAAATCTGTCATAAAGCGTAATTACAAGTGACCCTCCATAAAAAAGATGACAATGCCCTACCCTTGAAACCTTTATCTGATCAATAATGTGGAAGATATTGTCTTTTTTTCTAGGTTTAATTAATTTGGATATTTTCTATATGTTTTCCTGACGTTGAAATGCGCAAGTCACTTTTGTTGAGAAATCACAACGTAATAGAATCCGTTTTCAAAATTATGAACATTCATACTTTAGCAGACAACGCTTTTAAGGGTACCCTTGGGAATCGGGTATTCCCATCGATTGTCTGGACTAACTAAGCTGAGGAAAATTTGAATATTTGTCTAATTAAATACTCATTGATTTAAACTACTGTAGGTTTCCTGTCAGCAATATATCAGGTTTTACGATACTCTGGTGTTATGCGTTCAACTCTAAGAGTAGGAAACTTTAGAGCAAACAAATATTTTAAAAGTCGAGTTTTGTAAACAGAGATTTAGTTCCAAGAAATGCAAATTTGTGCAACCAATCTTTGGAAATAATTTTCCGCAAACAAATTCTATGCAAAATTGTCATCCTTCTTCACAAAGGTTCCAAAACTTACTAAAACCAGGTTACAATATAGCTCTTCAAACATGTTTAACAAAAAGTTTATTTGGTTTTGAATAATATTTATACAGCATCAAACCTAGCGTTTTACTCTCAAAAGGGGTTTCCATAACTTTTAGGTTTAAATATATTGAACAATTTTTATTGTTTCCTAATAATTTAAACGTTATAGTTTCTAGATCAGATTTTACCCCCCGTAATTCGAACATTTAAGTCCAAACTCAATCGGTCCAAATTGAGGCAAATCAGTCAAGGGATTCCTGAGTTATAATCAGACATACAAACAAACAGACAGACAAACACCAATAACAACTTTATTATAAGAAAATACTTTTTATTTTCTTAATTCGCGGAACCTTTAAAACTAGTAAAATTTTAAAAATCTCTTCTTGTTTTGTTTCAGAAAGCACAGATAGAAAATCTTAAAAACAAAAATAGGAATTATCAAAAATAAAGAGACTGTAGGCGTAGTTTTAAGTGACCATCCATGCAAAGATGGCAATGCCCGATTTACAACGCTACCATTGAAAACTGATTTGATCAAAATGTGAAAGATGTCGTCTCTTTTCTGACTCGAAAAGTGATGATTTCTGTGATTTTATCCATTGCTTCTGATAAGCAAGAAATGCACAAGTCACTTTCGCAGAGTAACCACGCAAAATGAAAATAATCAGTTTGAAGAAACAAAAAAACATTGATTTCTAATTCATACTTGATCAGACAAAGGTACCGTTGTAAATCGGCGTTGCCATCATCCTTGCATGGAGGGTTCTTGAAATTATACGTTTACAGTCCTATAGGAAAAGTTTTGAAAGTTAACAGTGCATGCGGAAGATTTTAAAAATGATGAAAAAGTTTATTAACATGACAAGTATTTTCAGTTTGGAATTTAAACAAACGGTAATAAATACATGAAACTGTTCAAACTAAGATAATAAACGGGTTATATATCTATCTATCTCCTAAAACCAACAAATCTATATACCACGTTGCTCAGGTTCATATTAATTACTTTTAAACAGCTAGAGCAGGCTGTACAGTACAAATACAAAATTTAATAAAGCTCTTCGTTTATATATTTGTATGTTAGCTAAAGTTGACCAAATGACTGAACCAAATTGGCTGAATCTTTTTAGTAAACCCATGGCTACCCTGGCCGGGGGTAACATTGGCTAAAAAATGTCGGGCAACGTCGGGCATTTTAGCTAGTATTATATAAGGCAAATTGGAACAACATTTTACCAACTTTCCGATTGTGATAATTAACATATTGTCCTGGTAAAACCAGTTTTTGAAAATTTGTAAATATTTTCTTCTTTTTCATTAAGCTTCATAAAACTGCAAAATTATCGGAATAACTAAAAAAGTGTTTAATTCTCACAATTCCCCAATGTTGCCTTTTTAGAGAAACCACAAATGAAAATTAAAAAAATGTCGAAGTTTAAAACATGTATATATATTTCTTGAACAAAGAGTTGCTAAAGATACCGTAATGAATCGGACATCACTTTTCAGACACTCCAATCCAAGTATGAGGAATTATTTGTGCGAATTTGCGACCTCAAAATTTCTAGTTTTTAATCTTATAAAGCAAACTCTGTTTGGTTGCAAGTGCATCTAAGGGTCTTAAAACTGTAATTTCATGTAATTAGCTGTTAGAAAAAGGAGTGTGTTTCCAAGATAGAAATATGGACTGGAGTCGAAACAGGTTTAAAATATAAAATGTTTTTGTTGTTTATAATTGAAATGTTTGTATTTACTTCTATGTTTTTATTTATATTTTGATAATTTATCCTTATAAATAAAACTTATCTTCCAACAATAGAAATAGAGTCTTAAACCTTAAATTCAAAATTAACCATAATATTTTGTTCATAATTATTCATCAGTAATTGTTAATTTATTTAAGGCTTTTTCTATGTCGACAATGTGGCAAAAAAGTTAGGTTTTTTCTCTCTGTACACCCTTTGAATTAAATCTGTAAGCAAAACTTG